TGTCAAAGCCTGGCATCAGAATGTTATATCTTTTTATTTGTCTTTCTCTTCCTTTCTTTAAAAACTACATTTTCAATTAGCAGTGTCATTAGTAGTTACTTGACCAAGCAAAATTATGATTCAACTTCTTCCCTTTAAGAGGGCTGACTAAGTGTGCAGATAAGTGGATTTGCCTTGAACACCATGGATTGGGAATATGCATGAAATAAAATTTAACAGATTTGCGGGTATTAAAATCACAAAGGATTGCAGAGACTGAAAACTTTTCGCCTAAATTCAAAATTATGATAATATGGGTCCAAGATTAAGTATTAAATTACCACAGTTGGTGGATATACATACTCTTTTCACCCTCCTTTAAAGCAGGTCTTAAGCAAACTTGTGTTATTTTTTATTGTTCTGATTCTAAGTATTTCTGTGTATTTTTTTACTTAATACCAATAACAGTAAAAAAGAAAACAACAAAAGCACAACCTCAGCTGCAAAGAGAAGGTACAAATTAAAAAAGGTTAAGGAGAACAATAACTCTGCTACTAAATTTACAAAATTTACTAGATTTCTTAGCTATCATCTAAATTACAATATTAAATTATCAAATTTCTTGCAGTATGAGAACAGCAAATACAACAACAAAATATACAGGTTAAAAATGCTGCCTTCCCATGCTATGTGTATGTTTCATGAAGGGGTCTGTCCTATTCGTGAAATTCTATGATGAACACCAGTTGTAATTTATTCCTAATCATTCATTCCTCAAACATTTTTAAAGATGACTTTTACAGCTCTGCCCAAGATTCTTCATGAAAAACTCCCTTATTTTCTGCCAAGAGTTCTCTTGAGCTTTTGCATGGTCATGTGTATTTCCTCCCCACACAAAGTTTGCCTTAAGACCCTTGTGGTAGGATGCAAAACAATGTGGTGCATATGGAGGTTCAATTAGGTGACCTGTGCCCGGATAACTCAACACAGAACACAAATCACCCTTGCTGCAGGAATTCATCCGCGTACAAATTTCTTGTGCCATTTCAACTGCTGCCAAATCTAGATCATCTTCTCCACAAATGATCAACATGGGACAATCAATTTTCTCCACTGGGATCACGCAGGAAGGTTCAAATTGGTTAAAATCATCAACTGGGATGCAGTCTCGCAAGATTAATGCCCCATCTGAGGTCATAGTAGCTTTCGAGCTATCATAGTACGTCCCTGATAACTGACCCCTGACCTTAAATGCCGAGGCTGAGATTACTAAAGAAGTAGAAATTGGCACAATTGCTTTCACAATATCTGTTCTGTTTGCAGCCATCATTAAAGTTATTTCTGCTCCTTTTGACACACCCATGACACCAATTCCTTGTTGTACAACAGCAGGATGTTTCACAAGCCAGTCAGCTGCTTCCTCAAAGTATTCCAGCTCACAGAATGGAAGATACTTTGGTAGGTCATCATATGCAAAATATGCCAGCGAGAGGACGGCAAACCCATGTGATGCCAGAAGGGAGGCTTTGAATTCTATCAAGCCTCCTGCTGTTCCAAACATATCAATGACTCCTAATTAACAAAAAACAAAGTAGAGTTAGTGTCTACTCTCCTTGTTCATTTGCAAGTAGCTTAGGATCAGAAAAAATCTGGTTGTTTGAAAAGCTAGCCTACAGTCCCATACAAATGAAAATGGGAATATCCCCTATTCCTTTTAAAATAAAGTGGCTTTGACTTAACCTGTGACCCTAAAATCCCTAAGAGTGACTAGCATCTTATTTCTCCTCACAAAAGCAGCCTTGAATCACACCTTAAGGCCACAAGAATAAGGAAAATCATCACTAACAGAAGAAATCCCTGAATGTTCGACAGATTCACCCTGTTTGCACACTAGCAAATGTATAGAGAACAGTACGGAGAATATGCATACTGATATTGAGGTGTAAAGGATAAACGAGCTGGAATAACAAAGAGTTTATCTTGTACATAGGCACAACCCCAAATTATAGAAAGAATAGGCAAATAAACATTGAGGATTGTGAGGGATGAGTGCATTTAAAATGGTTGCAAAGCACTGGCTTAACATTTTTCAAAATGTAAAAGCTATGACAAGACCACTTTTCTTCATCAAAGACACTGACCTGGGAATGTTCCACTTCCTGGAGGTAGGAACAAAGTTCCACGTATCCTCCCTTCTCTTACAGGAATTCTCTTTACTCCTTCAGCCATGTACCACTTCTCTAATACTGAGCTCACAATTGGCTGCAAACTGTTTCTTGCTAAACAATTCACAAATCCATCCTTTGGAGACAGATGTCCATCAAAGCAGTTCAGTTGAATTGAGTAAGGTTTTGTGACATCTTTCTTTGCAAGTCTCAGTCCTTTTCTCTGACCAGGAGCCTGTGTCATGCTCCACAGGAATCCCATTTGTTCAATGCCAACATAGGAACCACCATGTGAAGCATCAGTTGAGTTATCAATTTTTCCTTAGGAATAAAATTAAAGTGGTCCAAGAATTTTTAGACAGATAAGTTCTGATGCAATAGTAGAGCTTCAAGTAAGTCAAGATGCCAGTAAAAAATAGTGCAAAGGAAAAATTAACTGAGTCACATACTGAATACTCTAGATTGGTAATAAACCTTTCATTCTTGTTAAAGTGGCAAACTCACATATTACTAATGTACAATTTTCAGTTGAGTGAGACATGATCTAAGGAAGTTTAGTAACCTTGTTTTAACATCAAAACTGAGTTGTTGTGACAGGTAACTGGCTCTGTTTCCAGTGAAAACGTGTTGTTTGACTTCTTTAAGAGTGCTTTTACATTTGTCAGTTGGTGACTCATGACTCTTCCAGATCAGTTACCACTGGAGACGAGTTTTAAGGTCAAAAGCCCATCACCAAACTTTTTCTGCACCTCACTGTACTGATAATTGTAATAGTACATTGTCTTCAGTTAGTTTACATAAAGCAACAAACTGCATCTTCCTCTAGTTTATTAACAGAACAACCAACTTCAGATGTTTGTGCAACACTTGAAAGCCAAACTGAAGGCTAGTGATTTACTCCTCTTTGCAACATCCAGAGAGGGTTTAAGTTGTTGATGCCAAATGGCACTATTCTGAAGCTGTTATTCTTGTAAAACTGAACTTGTTCTCCACATGTCTGGCAAATACCTAG